TACCTTCATAAGACTAACGTGTATAATTACATTTTATTATACAGAATTATAAAATAAAAGAAGAAAATGCCAGATGTCTCAATAATTAGAACCAAATAAGCAATAATCTGGATCTTCCGTTTTATTACTTGAAATGAGAAAAGAAAATTTATCTACTCTTTCTAAATCTCTTGTTTTCAAAACATGAAGCTCCCTGCTATACCTAGGAGGCTCCTCATTGCATTACAATGGGGCATTGTTTTGAGCCATCTGATTCCAAATTCTGTCTTCCTCTGGATGTGAAGACAGCAGGACACAAAGTGAGCAATCTCTTGGTAAGAAATTGGAATGTATCCGCTTACCCTGGAGGCTTAAGTAATTCTATCACTTTCTCTGAGTAAAGAGAACATTTGGTGTAAAACAAAAAATAAGACATTATTTTAATCTGAGTCAGACTGTTAATCTGAAGATTTTGCGTAGGTCCTAACGCCTCTCAAGTTGATGAAAGGAAGATTAATAAGCTATCACTACCAAAGAAGTACATACTCTCGATTACAACTATATTTCTGAAAAGCCTGGCTAGGTATAGTATTTCTCTTATGTCATTTTTTGAAGATCTAAATAAACCAAAATCAAGGTATATAGATTATAATAAGCACAACAGATACTTATTGAAAAAAGCATCAAACCAGTATTTTCATGGTAATAGGATGAGAGGCTAAATAGCTCCATTTCCTTCAACTTCTTATTTTAAAACACACTTTAAGATTTTTCCCATCTTACTTGCTTTTCTATGGCCATTGATTCATTTTTCAATGGTCACTCTAAAATATATCCAAACACATTATATGCAAGAAGTCTGATTTTTTTTAATAACAGTAGACTTGTTTAAAAAAAAATGACAAACTTTATCAACTTGTTTAATTTCTTCAAAATCTATGACATTCATGACCTTTTTTGTCAAATCATTTAACTATGAAATATTTACACTATCCAGGATTCAAATGAAAATCAGTTCTTCTTGAGTAATGACTGTCCAACTCTTTATGTAAAAGATTGTGATAAAAATTAGTTGATTAAAATCTCAGGTTGATACCATATTGTGTTTGAGAGTTAAGAATAATGACTAAAATAACTAGGAAAAAACCCTACTATCTTCACCATATTTCAAAGTGTTTTGGTCGGATGGTAAGACACTGACACTTAGCTAACGTGAAATGCAGAGCAGTGTTAGCTGACAGCTAGCGTATCAGCCTGAAAGCCGCCTCTCTTTATGAACCTCTATTCCACTTTCAAAGTCCATTGTCTTTTAAAAAGCAGCAAAGTGTCTTTCTACTTCAGCTTCACCAAGTCTTCACCCCTTTGCTCCAAGCCTGCCACTGTCAGAATCTTGCCCTTCTGGAAACTGCATAGCGTCCAGCAATGGGGAGAAAGGAGCGACAGGCCACATCACCACCCTGACGCTGGGACACCGTCTAGACAATTTGCGATTGGATGTTAACCTACTCACTAAACAAAATTATTGTTTAGACCCTCCTGTGTGCCAAGACTTCAAATTGCTGGGGTTGCAACAGTGGAAAGTTCCTGGCCTCATAAAGCTTGCATTTCATTTGGAAGAGAGGGAAAATAACCCGGTAAACACTTTTATCTCAGGTAGCAGAGCATGCTATGACGATCACCCAGCAGCGTGAAGGGCAGGTGAGCGCTCTGTGGCTGCGTTGCTATGGATTTGCCTACGGACGTGTCCCAGGGATGCTAATGGGTGACCTCCTTCCGGAAGCTGACTCCGAGCTGGCCTCACTTCCAACAGTGTAAATAATCCTGCGGCCCACGTTTTTCTGTGTTCTCCAAACACATTCAACTCCAAAGGAAGTTCTTGTCATCAGTCTACTATCCTAAGAGAGTTTCACGGCATTTCGTGAAAGAAAAATCTAGAAAGGGAAATAACATTTATGAGTCTGCACAACCAGCGGGCACCTGGCCAAGGGC